CGTTGAAAGAGAAAAGCTTCTTATAAAAGTACAATACCTGGACTCCTCCCTAGAAGAAGTCTAGGTCTCTAGTCTCTAGAACTCTCTCTCTAGTGGTCGCGACGTCTGGCCTTTTCATTAGACGTCGCCACCTTCACTTAAGTAATACGTCTTCGGTCTTGGCCTTGATTTACGTCTGCCAAGGGCTTTAGGGTCCAGAGAGAGCGCGAGAGAGCAGAGAAAAACAGAAAAGGGAATGGTAAGGGATCACGTTCAAGTTGTCCGTAGACCGTGATCTGTCTGCATGTCCTCCGTGGCGTCAATATACGATAACAGCGTTCATCGTGAATGGGTTACAATATGTGGCAATCTGATGCAACAGTTCCGGTTTCCTTCCCTTTTAATACCTGCTCATGAATCATGCGTGAAATTCGTGTAGGTTTTTTGTCCAGTGAATCAAGCGATCAATGGATTCGTTCAGGCAAGTATGTCAACTTCTCAAACGAGGGGCTGACAAGTCTCTGAAGAATGCTGACGGAGTGACACCATTGGAGATTGCTGTGGAAGGCAAACATGCGGACATCGTCACGTTGTACGTTTTCTACAGATTTTGATTAAAGTAATGCTCGCGCAGTACTCTTTTGGGGACAGGGTACAGCATCGTGATGTGTGAAATGGTTCAACGTTCAGAATTTTTTTTTAAATTTCCCGACGCAGCAAATTTCTCTCAAAGGCGCATGCGATCCCCTCTCCCAACGACCAAATACGACCCTCCCCCTCCCCAGCGGAAAAGTACGACCCCTCCTTGGGGATGCGGCCTGGGAGATCCACGTCGGGCCAACTCGCAGAAAACAGCAGTATTCTCTAGCTAGTTGCTTCAGTATACTGCAGCATAATAGCGTGAAATTACGTAAGTCAGAGAGTGTTCAGACTTCGCGACGGCAGCGCTTCGGTTGCGCGTTCGACGCAATCGATGCGCATGCTTTCGATTGCGTCAAACGCGCGACCATGGCGCTGCCGTGGCGAATGAACGCTGCCTCGTGGTGCTAATGCCGCACACGCGATGACTTTTGCACGCAGCGTTGTCGCAACATGGATCTTCTGTTTGGCACCCATCCTTTAAGACCGTTTCTCAGGTGACACCCGCCTATAGATTTGCTCATTCTCAATCTAGGCCCTGTTGAACTATTACTAGCCCAAAATCGCGGAAAAAAATATCACCCAAACTTCCACTAACTATAAGGATACTCCTGCCCCGATCACGAATATGTCATTCCTTTTTGGCGCCGGCTCAAATGGGCACCGTTCTTGCACCCCAACTTACTCACCTACTACTTACATGCCACTTGATGAAAATTCGTATATGGTTATTTGGCATTACGGCTACGAGTATTATGTTCATTCTTGGCAGCGAAGCTAAACTAAGGCTTTCTGATCATCTGCGCTCTGCCAAGTCCGAGCCTGGCGGTGAGGAAGCCACTCCTTCTTCCAGGCTCGGCCTTATCAGAGCGCTAAACGGCCATCGTCCGGTGTTGAAAAAAATCAGTTGTGGGGGTAGTAGTAGGAATAGTGGTATAGTAAGTCAGTTTCACTGGTCTTTCATCGTCTTTATCTTTTCCTTGAAGGTTCCGAGTACATACCATGCGAGATGAATTCATGGAGGAGTTCAACAATCCTATGGATGACACTGTTGACAGCGTGATTTCTGACATCACTCGCAAAGCTGCTGTGAGCAAGAGCTCTTCGGGATAAGTGGCTAAGCAGCTGATTTGCCACTCTGCTAAAAAGTTCCCTTTCAAAATGGCAATTCGTGTAGCAATAGCTTTTTCGAGATGCCTGCCGTTCGTTCCAAGGTCTGGTACCCTCCTTTTCACTACCTTGCCGAACCACCTTTATGGTGCTGTTATGGAGATTTTAGCATTTTTATAGTTTTCCTATTGCTTGAGTTAGTAATTCTTTTTTATCTTGAAACACAGCTAGAGATCATCCTCTTCAATAGTACCCTTATTAGATCCTCGCATTGTGACCACAATATGGCCCTGTAGTTATCGACATATTTAGCAATTATGTTCACGTTACTAGTGTTAGAAGTACGCTTGGATGCAGTGTCCCTGTGTAGAATTGTTTCATTTTTTTGCGATTTTTTCATGTTTTGTCTTCTTTTTCCTCAATAGTTGTCATAATGATCAGACCAAACCGCCTTGGCTCTAGCGTGAGTACGAGTCTAGTTCTTTGAGATCAGTGGTAGGGTTGTCGGCTGGTGGCCAGTTGTATCGCATTTCATCTGCTCCACTTAAAGACATTCCACGATAAGGTGGGATCTCCTATTTGAACGGCCTACCCAGTCCGCCATCGCAGCGAATGGACCACTTTTACGCTCCGAAAGTGAATGACGAGGGCGCTGCGGTCGTTAATCGTCGTGGCCTACCCCTCCCACCTGTAGCAACACCGCCCAGAGACAGATACTTTTTCCGAATGCGTTGGTGTCTGTCACCTCTTCTTTCCTAATGCTTCGTACCCGGTCTGTCGGCTGCTCCCAGAGTCGCTTCACTTCTCACTTCTCGCTCGCCCAGTCTTAAAATCATAAGCAGTAAGGAAGACTTCATTGAGAACGTTTTGAGGGCCTTATCAGCCTTTTTCTTGACGGGTTTGTCAACTAGCATCCACAGGTTCACCTTTGAACCCGACAGCATACCATGTGCGATCGCAGAATGTGTCTTTAAGTCCACTCCATCGTTGATTGGATATTAACAGCGACCATAACTTAGTGCACCTGGCAACCACCATCAAATCATTACCATTGATAATTTGCTCAGAATAATTTTTTTTCACACTGTCTTGACATACATATAGCAAACATGCGGGCTATTGCTTGGAAGTCTTGCCTTCTGTTGTATTCTGATGATTCCTGTGATACTCTACGCTATTCCTGTCATACTGCTAATCTCTGCAATGACTGCATAATAATATGTGGTAGAGATGATTCAATGTTTTTCTCGAATGTAAATGTATATAAGGTCTAGGAGTAAAGCACTTTTCTGTCTTTTACTGTCTTCTTTTTCATTCTTTTTTTATGTCGAAATTCCCATTCCAAGTGATTCAGCATGAGCGGTTAAGCTAGTTCTCATGGCCGTTTGGCCGTTGATCATCTGGCGCGTGACTCATTGTCAGCGCGGGTTGTATCATTATGGCGCTGTTGACGCCATCCGTTTGCTGTATAAATAGCAGTCCATTGGATCGCGGCGGCTTTGTTTATCATGGGTCATGCTTTGTTTTAACATTTGCCCTTCGGCCTTTCGCTTTGCTTTTTGAAATGACGTTTTGAGGAATTCGTCCTTATTTCATGCGAGAATTTCCCCATCCACACATCAATTCTGCCCTATCCAATGGGGCAAATTCTGGGCCCCGATGGATTAAACCCACGCAGGAATAAGAGTTATTCGCAAGATCTGGGTGGGAGCGTAAGTGGCATGAATAGTGGACCTTTCGCCGCTGATCATTCCCCTCTGGGATGGGACGTATTCTCATCAGAGCACGTCCTGCATTGGGAGATGTCCAGCGGGGAGGGGCGTATTCAGCCGCT